ATTTTCACAGTCAGACCTACGGTGTTATTCTGAAAGTGCTGAAGTAGATTTGTTATAAATGTGGGGGTTCCTGGAATCACAGAGAGGTCAGATGAATAAAAAGGGTTTAGGAATTCCTTATCTTCCCATAAATTAATCCAACGTGTTTCCCCAACACCACCACTTCAAAGTGCCCACTAACCAAAGGATAAAAGTATTACACTATGGAAGCTGACTTTGGGTTAACTCTCATCTGTTCATTCGGTTTCATTTCTTGGAAGGGATGAATCTGCAGACACTTTGCAATTTGGTGGTTCTTGTTTTACGAGTGCATGGAGTATTTTTAGTGCTGCTTATGAGAACGTACGCCACCTGTGCAGCAAACATCCAAGAGGGGATGCTTTGTCAAAACATATTCCCTTAATGCACATGGACAACCCAGAGCAGACTCCTCACTTAACAAGAAACACCAGAGAGATTAGATCAAATTTCATAGAGAAATACAGCACAATCTTAAGTCCTCAATCTTATTAAGAAACTCACAATAGACCAGCCATCCACCTCTTTCATCTATCAATAATACAATCATTCCGGAAACTGTGCACACATTCAATGATATTGCTTTTATAAAGTACACTCCTGTTGAATCACCAAAATCCCACAATCCTTTGCAAAAGGTGGTCAGTAATCCCAGCCATATGTTTAGAGTAGGGCAAACAGAAGGGAGCAGACCGCACAGTAAAGCCCACCCTTCCATGACAATAGGGACAGACTCTCTAGGGACAAAGGCAACAACCTGATCCCCAGACAGGGATGTAGTGACAAAGGGGGGCTTGAGAGACAAGGACCACACAGGATCAGGGCCACCAGACGCTCGGCTTCCCACAGGAAAGCTGCTCATTTCTTCTTCGAGTAGAAAGAGTACGGCTAACTGTTCATTTCAACAACTGCCACGAGTCTGAATGCCAGGACAAATGAATGTCTGCTCTCCTTTTGAAGTGCCTTAAAATAGACCACAGTAATTTAAGTGAAATAGTGAATTGTAGGTGCATTGGATGAAATTAAAATTTAAACTAGAACAAAATTATTTTCTAGTGATAAGACACAACTGAAAATAAGGGGGGGGGTCAGTTTGTTAATGATAATTTTTTTAATTTGATATTCTCTAATTTATTTTTATTATAGTATTTTTATATTATAATTTAATATTAATATTATAGTTATAATATATAAAAGATTTATATTACAAATTAATTCTGTTCTTTTGAACTTTCTAATCATCAAATAATTCTAAGAAAATTACAAAAAACATCAAGCACAACTGTTTTCAACATTGACAATATTAAAAAAAAAATGTTTCTTGAGCAGCAAATCAGGATATTAGAATGATTTCTGATGTGACTCTGAAGACTGGAGGAATGGTTTCTGAAAATTCAGCTTTGCATCAAAGGAATAAGTTACATTTGAATATATATTAAACAGAAACAGCATTACTGTTTTTACTGTGCTTTTGATCAAATAAATGTAGCCCTGAGCACTTGAGACGTCTTTTGAAAAACAATTGTAAAAAATCTCACCGATGTTAAACTTTTGAACAATAGTCTATAATTGCTCCCTAAGTTTTATAAAAGCATTTTCCACTCAAGTCATTGCACTGCTTTTATCTCATGCTGTGAAATCACTGTAATGTACAGACTTTTGCGGATTACTACTTTAATAAATGGCATTTTAAGGCAAAATCTATAAAACTTGTCATTTTATATGCTAGGAAAGCTCTATACGATGGTTTCATGGTATATATATTTTTTTTTCTCCAGGCAGATCTGAAGGAGCGTTACTCTGTGGGTGAACTGTTGGTGGATCTGGCCGGATGCAGGGCCAGTCGGGTGCTGCTCTTTGTGGAGCAGAGCTACAGTGGAGTCCTCAGCAAGAGACTGATGGGATCTCTCAAACACGCCAATGTCGTGCTGCTGAACGGCTTGCCCTGGGTGCACACAGCTGAGTTCTGGGCCTCTCTGCACCCATCAGAGTGCCTCATAGACCACCTCAGTAAGGTGAGACTTTACAAGCCTTTATGAATCGGGGCTGTTCAGATCACACTTTTTTGATTGTACAAAACACCTTATTTTTTACGTAAAAGCAGTGCACAACCATTTGTAACTCGTGTGAGGCTTCCGGTGTCAGCTGCTTCCAGTTACTTTAGCTGCACAATCATGTATAATTTATTATCATAATCATAAACACACTTTGCTATTCTTCTAGTTATTTATTTACAGCAGCTAATGAATGATAAGTCTCATACATTCACTGGAACTGAAAAATAAGGTGGAAATGCAAACTTGATTATGTGATTATTATAAATGCTTAAAGGGACAGTTCACCCAAAAATGAAAACTCTTGTCGTCATTTTCTCACTCTATATAGTATCCAGTAACACTTTTGAATATTTAGTAGCACTTTACAATAAGGTTTCATTTGTTAACATTAGTTAACTACATTAGTTAACATGAAATAACAATGGAAAACAATTCTAAAGCATTTATTTATCATTTGCCATTAAAATCAAGATGTATCTTTCAACAATTTAAAGGGATAGTTCAACCTTCAGTTGCTGGTCCCCATTGACTTCCATAGTATTGGGGAAAAACGCTATGCAAGTCAATGGGGACCAGCAACTGAAGGTGAACTATCCTTTTAATGGACCAGAGCCAACATGAACTAACAATGAACAGCTGTATTAACATCAACAAAGATGAATAAATATAGTAAAAAATGAATTGTTCATTTTTAGTTAATGAATTAACTAAAGTTAACTAATGGATCCTTAATGTAAAGTGTAACTGAATATCCTAGCTGCTCTTTTCTTTGTACTAAAATTGAAAGAGGACAGAGGCAAGTTCTACTTTTATGACCTACATCATAAACACAGTCTATACGACGTACGGTCTTTATTCTGCCAAGTCTTCTTATAATGACGGCTTTGTCTGTGGAATAGGACCAAATCCAAAAAGTCAGTTTTGGCTAAAAATGGTCACAAAACAAATGTTGAGTCAGCGTGTCATTTTTGTAGCCAATACAACCTTTACATTTCAGATCTTCTGTGGAATAACTTTAATTTCTGTCTGTTTTCCACATAAAGCTATCGTATGACTTGAAGACTTTAAACGCTTTCTTTCTTTGCTTAATGCAACAGCAGAGTTCTGCGACGCCCCGACTGGCTGATGCTGCTCTGGGACTGATGAACGTGACTCTGGCCGGTGCTCCGTGCAACTCCACCCCTCCTTTCACCGAAGCCGAAATGAGGAAGGAGTACATGGGCTGCCAGAACCTCCCCACAGCTCTGTGGTACCAAAAACGACCCAAGACCGACAACAGCAGGAATTGAGCAAACTGACCGCTTCCAGGACTTTCAGAAGGACAAGAGCCAACTCTATTGTTCCCAATCCGTAATTCGGACACTCCAGTGGAGTACTTCCATGAAAAACAAGTACCAACGAGTAGTCCTAGAAGTATGACTTTGTATAATGCACAAACTTCAAATCCATGACCAGCGCTTTCCTCTCACAAACACAGAGACACACACACTCTACCTGTGTGTGCGCACTTAATTCACCCGGTGATGCACATAGACCCTGACAAGCTGTTGAGGAACGGAGACTACATAATGTGTGCTTAAGAGATCGAAAGAAGAGGCGGTAATGCAGGACAGAGAGAGAGAAAGCATCTGACATGTCCTCACTTTGAACCTCATTTCCCCTGCTTGCCACTCCGTAGAAGGCGTCCCGTGGGGAGCGTCCCATGCAAACTTCTCCTCTCTCCGCCTGCCATGGGGGTTCAGCGCAGGGGCATCCGCGCTCCTTTACCAGAGTGCTCTTCCGTGGGTCATCGCACAGGGCGCGCCTGGAACTGAACAATGGTGACAAGGCCACTCTGAAACACACCTCACACTCACTTGAACAGTTCAGGACAAATCTCCTTGTCCCTTCTTCAGCTCAGTAAGGGACAGGGCGGTCCAGCATGATTTAGTAATGAGAAATGTTCCCTCACCACGTCTGGACTCTAGCAGACACTGGGCTCTGCAAGCATGTATTTAAATCAGACCTCTTATTCCACACTGTATTAACCACTCTGTCCACAGTGTTCGCTTATCTCCGCAAACATTTAATCGCCAGCCGCCAATAATGTTGACAGTGACGAGAAGGTATTTCAGGCCCCACTCCAGCTCCTGTGGGAATTCATACACATTCTTCAGAAATTACAGACAGTAGGACGATATTTTTCTGCAGCGCATCTACTTGCTCAGAAATATACGCTCTCCTTCAAAAGTTTAGGGTTAGTAAGATTTTTTAAATGTTTTTGAAGTCTCTAATGTTCAGCAAGGCTGCATTTATTTGATCAAAACAGTAAAAACAGTGATATTTAAAATCATTTAAATCATTTAAAAAATGTTTTCTATTTTTAGAAAACACAACACTTAAATGTGCTCTAGAAATAAAACTGAACTTGAACTTGAACTATTTGGAAATATTCTAAATATATAAATAAACTATTTTAATCCTTTTTCAAATGGATAAAGAGAATATATATCAAACACCTCTCAAGTTCAGCATGTCATTAATATTAAAATATTGGCTTAAATGTATACGAGTATTTTCCATGTTCAGTTTATGAATCTCAAATTATAAATGTGGATGTGGACAAAATAGATGTGATAGACTGATTGCGAAGGAGGATGATAGTTAATGTGGTTTGGTAAAGCATCCACACTTTGGTGAAAATTTTTGGCTCAGCCTAAAGAGGTCTGATGGTTTTTTGAAAAAATTGGGAACACTAAATTTTACAGTGTACATGTTACACATACTCCAATTTAAATACTATATTCATGTTTCACAAATTCATGTTACTGAAATTTAATACTATAGATAACATCAAAGAAAACTTAATGCATATGGAAAGTACATGTAGTTAATTAGATTTACTATGTACTTATGTAAATACAGAGTAACATGAACACCGCATTATAATGAAAGAAACATGACCCTGAGCAAGTGAACATGTTACCTACAATTCCCATCAGTAGACGACAGAGATTCCTCCACATCTCCTCAGTTTACAGTGATGGATAGAAGTGTAAACAAAAGTGTTACATGTAATATAAAGAAAAAACCAATGTAACAGAAATGACTGAATATAGTCATCACATGACAGTATTTTTATACTAATGCTGTTTCCTAAGCATTACAGGGAAAATTCACCAAAAATGAAAATGCGGTCATTATTTACCTGTATGACTTTTTTTGTGAGACATAAAAGAAGAGAAATGTCAGTGGTTTTTGTGCATACAATGAAAGTCAATGGGAACCACTGGTTGCCACCACTCAAAATCAAAACACAGTATCTGCTTTTATTTTGCACAGAAGAAAAGAGTCATACAAGTTTGGAACAAAATGAGGGTAATGAGTAAATGAGGACCATTTTCATTTTAGGGTGAACTAACCCTTTAACATATTTAGAGGTACTCAATGATTGGTAGATTTTTAATGACACCTTTCCCTGAGAAACACTCTTCGTAGTTTATTACTTTTGTGCAGTCTGGTGGCCGTGTCTGAGATGAACTCTTTTACCATTTTCCTGATTGATTTCACCCATCCCCATTCATCATCGCTGCTCCATCAGCTTCAGCCACTCTGCTGTGGCTCCTGCGGTTGTTCATCTGTAGAGACCTCTGACTCTGGGGTTTGCTGCTGTTTTAACCACATGGCTGCGTACAGTCCCCCCATGGCCAGCAGCTCCTCGTGCCTACAGACAGAGAGCAGTCAGACACAACATACTGTAAGCAGACAGACCACTTGCAGAAAAGTGTACAAGAGCAATCGCAACACAAGGAAGTTTCATCTTTCTGTTTTTCTTTGAAAACTGAGAGTTAATCTTAAGCACTGTCAACGGTTTTTGAGATTTTTGACATGTACCTTTAAAATAGGAGATTTGCTTGACTATAACCTAGACTGAAAACAGCTGCCCAAGGCACTGACTGCCAAGATGGCTGCCAAAGTGGACTTCAGAGCATTTCAGCTTCACAGGGGGTCGGAGAAGCCAAATGAAAGCTTCCCTCTGGCTCCAGAAATCACTTAAGGGTGAGGAAACTCTCAGGACCATCTCTATTCATTCTACTCAGATTGCTAAAACAGAGTTAGGAGGGTCGGTCTAGGGTCAAGTTTGTCGAAGCATCAATTACTTGGAAGTATGACATCAAAAGTGAAGCAGACACAGTATGGGGCATTGAGCTCTGGGAACGAGAGTGTGGAAAATGTTCTCATCGTAATGGAAGATCACACTAGAAGTTTCAAATGGACCTGAGCAAGCATTCTGTATCAGCTGCAAAAGTAGATTATTACCTGTATAAATTAATAACATGGCCAGTGTTTATCCTACCGTATCCCTAGATCTTTTGGTCAATAAATATCCATGAGTTTTCCAGTTGTTTGTCCTTACTGGACAATATTTACAATATTTCACTTAAAAATATTATATTATTTGAAGTCTGAATATTTTAAGATGACTAGGTTGATGAGAAATTATAGTCAATAAGAAATTTCCAGATTACCAGTTGTTTGTCCTTACTGGATTAAATCATTTTGTATTTATTTTTTAAATATTGCACTTAAAAACAGATTATATTATGTCTGAATATATTTAGTTGTGCATAACTAGAAAAATTAATAGTCACTAAGAGTTTTCCAGGTATTTTTCTTTTTGTTCTTACTGGATATGGATTCTTAAAATATCTTCAATATATTGTACTTAAAACAGATTTTGTTATATTATAAAAATAATAAAAAATAATATTTTTTTAGCTGATAATAACGAAAATGATTTATACTCAAAAAAAAAAAAAATTCCATGGTTTTCAAGATCTTTTGCTTATTGGATATGGATTTTAAGTATTTTTTTTAAATATATTTTGCTTAAAAATGTGTATATATAATATATATATATATATATATATATAAGCATACTGTATATATTTATTATTTTAAAAACTATTATCATATATATTATATTATATTACCTGAATATTTTAGATGAGCATAACTAGAATGATTTATAGTCACTAATAATTTACATGACTTTTCCAGGCCTGAAAAATCGCTATTTTAAAACTCCCTGATACTTCCAGGTTTCCCATGACCATGTGAACCTCGCATCCTCCCTCCTTGTCAAATCTTTTCCCAGAGATTTCCCAGGAAGTAGCCTGTTAAGGGGCAGCACAAGGTGTATCTATTAATTTCTCTATTCTGAAAGCATTAACCCTTCACCTCCCCGAATGGACGTTCCCACCTCGCTGTCTTCCTGTGAACGTGTGTATTCCGATACGCTGTTCCTGTGGGTTAAAAGCCTGTGTGGGTCGTGTTTACATCGCAGTGTCAGTCAGGGCTGAATCTGCGAGGTGTGGAGTTACATCCCTGATGGCCGTGTGTGTCTTGCGGACGGTCTGTTGGCTGTAGCTCATATATCAAAGGGCCGAAGTGCAGGACAGTGAGCACAGGGTTAAAACCAGGGCTGAACGGCCAGGATAAATGGAAAAGTCCATTAGTGGAACACTCTGTGTGTGTGTCCGTCAGGTTTAAGGGAGGAACTCTGTGTGTGTGTACCACCTGAGGGCCTGCAGCGAGACAGGACACACCGATCAGGCAGGGTGTGGACCGCTCGGACACTGAGAGACTATATCCTGTCTCTGGGAAGATGAGGACGCACTCAGACGGCCCTCAGGTTAAGACTACAGATCGACTGATAACAAGAACACCGCCTCTGGGTCGCACTCTCACACACAGATCTTAGGTTTCCTAAGGATGAAGAAGACCCTGTCTGTCCCAACACGTCTTCTATGGTTCACTCTCCACAGAACCAAAGGAATTTCACTCAATCAGGACAGAGAGGGTGTCACATTTCCTCTTTTATCCCGCTTGTGTTCTGGCCGTTCTGAGGGGGAAAAGGCCATGCAGGGTGTGTCGTTTGAATCTTTACAGTAGGTTTTTCTCTCAGAGTAACAGAAGCTCGAGGACAAACGCACACACACACACACACACACACACACTACTGACCTTCCTTGTTCTGCTATCCGCCCGTCATGAAGAACCAGGATCTGATCGGCCTTGATGATGGTGGATAACCTGAAAATACAAATGAACGTTATTGCATTAAATAGAAATGATCTAACGCTCACTAAAAGTTAATCTCTATCAAACTAATAATTGAATAACAACATTAAATGTAATCTTCAGCAAACCTCACAATCATATCATTTATCATATTGTACATTATAATGTTGAGACGCCCAAATTCACTTGTAGCTATTTATTTACTTAAATGTATTTCTTAATTTATTTAATATTGGTTATCAGCCTTTATATAAAAAAAAATTTCAGCTTTTCAGTATTGAACAGAATGTATGCAACAAAAGATACTGAGCCGATACTGTAGCTGATAATATATCTCAGAGTGAACAGAAATGTCACCATCACCATAAGGAATAACAAAAATGAACTATTCTCATAGAGGTTTCCTGAAAACCATCTTCAGGCCATGACAAACCCAGCCAAGGCTTGGCCATCGGCCAATGACAGGCATTTTTTGTGGCTTGTTTCACACTGTTGGCACTAATCGAACCGCCATGTTTGTTTGTTTGTTTCAGCCGATTGAGCATGTTGATTTGGCAGCAGAATGAACAAGTGCACAAGAAGAAAAACGGAAGTGATGAAAGCAAGTGGTGAGCAAGATTGTTGTGAAAATGGGTCTGTCCCAATACCCACATTTTCGGTCTTTGCACTTGACCATTTTTCTACTTCCATGATAGATTTCTGCAAGTGTGTTAAACTTTTGATTACCCAATGGGACACACTCATAGTATTTTAAGGATGCAAGTCAAGTTTATACTAAGTTTTATTTACACATTTTGATTTTCAATAATTTGCACTTTAAAACAAACTTCTGAGTGTTTAGTAGTCTCTATGTAACAGACGATCCAATTTAATTGTGGTTCTTCTAATGAAGTGATAAAAAGCAGTTGAAAACATTTTACAAAGTACTTTACACATACTCATCTCAGCGCCAATAAAATGATCTACACTTTATGTGTTACTACCAAATTACATGCAATATCTGGAAAGCTTCCCTCTGTATCTCGCAATTTTAGGGCACATGAGTTGATGGGATCCTCAAAAACCACTGGAAAGCGTGGATGAAGTCCACAATCTTGTGCACTTACTTTCTGTCACATACATGTGCTCTCAAGTGGCCAAGACCACAAGTGTGCATACTGGGACAGGCCCACTGGAGAACAACCACTGCTTTATTGATGGTTTGTATATCTGCACTCAAAGCTCTTTGATTTTCCTTCTGAATGATAAATACTGACAACTGCCACCTGCTGGTATGGAGAGTTATTTCCTCTCATTCAGACGCAGAATGTGTGTCTTCAAGTGCAACTTTTCGGCCGCCCACTAGAGATTTGCTGTCGATTAGGTGTTTCTGTGCCTTTCCACTTATTGGAAATATAAAGGATAGTCCTGCCTCAAACTCACATTATTGTGTTGGGCTGGTCAGGATGCTCAAAGAAAACATGGGTAATGCTTTGATGGCTCCATTAAGCAACAATATTTACAACCTACAAACAGCTTACTTGTTGTCTGCATAATAATTTAGGTAGGAGAAAATATTTGCAGTATTAAAAACATTAGACTTCACATTTAGAGGGCACAGACAGGAAGCAGGTCACTTACTCTGCCCCTAAAGCCTGTTTTTATTCCTGCATCACATCAAAAAAAACTTAATCCTTGTTTGTATCCTGTTCACAAAGCAGAAAGATTCAGCTGCCGATGTACTGTAAACGCATTCCCTAATTTAAAGCAGCAGCAGAGTCTTTAAGCACTACATCCCTCTTAATCTAATCCACACACACTACTTCTTTAATTCACACCCAAAACCCTTCTGCAGGTCATCCTCTCAGCTGCCCTTCATCTTCAAACAAAGGAGCGGAGACTTCTTTATTGATCGCTAACCCCAGAACCACCACCCCAAAACAGATCAAAGTCACACCACTGTCTCAGAGGCTGGACAGGATCAAAGCTCGCAGACTCTGATCCTGATGTGTTTACAATTTTCTAAAGAGGAGAGCAATGAGAGACAGAGGGAAAAACATTAGGGAGAAGGAATCAGAGACGCTGGACGGGCAGAGACGCTTTCCAAGAGCGACAGCAGGAGTACGAGAGTGGTGGAATAACACAGAAAGACTAGAAAAAAAGCTGACCAGAGGAGAGGAAGTGAGCGAGGCGTTTGAATCAATGTCAAAAGAACCACCACCCCAAAACAGATCAAAGTCACACCACTGTCTCAGAGGCTGGACAGGATCAAAGCTCGCAGACTCTGATCCTGATGTGTTTACAATTTTCTAAAGAGGAGAGCAATGAGAGACAGAGGGAAAAACATTAGGGAGAAGGAATCAGAGACACTGGACGGGCAGAGACGCTTTCCAAGAGCGACAGCAGGAGTACGAGAGTGGTGGAATGTGACACAGAAAGACTAGAAAAAAAGCTGACCAGAGGAGAAGAAGTGAGCGAGGCGTTTGAATCAATGTCAAAAGTGTTCGCTCTTCTCATAAAACACCAATACAAAATAATTCCACAGTAATAACTAGCAGGCGCACACGTGTTTTCTGTTGAGGACACAGCAGACCTTTATCTAACACTATCGTGTGGACTAGAGGTGAAACGATATTATTGAAACGACATATTTGTACTGTTTTTCATCTTATGACTAACAATACCTCTGAAAACAAACATATTAAATGTGGATAAACTGTAAGATGTCCATTTGTAGTTTGAGTAATTAGCACTGAATCAGTGTTTAATTAGAGAGGATGAGAAGAAACTGTAAGGCAGGCGGATGTACAATTGAACGAATTGACAACAAAGTAGTGAATACTAATGTGAGTATATGCTAGCAGTCATACAGTGAAAGCATTTATAGAAGTTCGAAATACTCTTCAAATGTGACAATTTATATTAAATTAATAATACAAACATGTATATTATAAGATTTGTTTTATGTTTTTGAAAGAAGTCACTTATGCTCACAAAGGCTGCATTTATTTGATCAGAAATATAGTGAAACAGGAATATTGTGAGACATTTATACAATTTAAGTGTTTCTATTTTAATACATTTTAAAATCTCATTTATTCATGTGATGGTAAAGGAGTCATTACTTCAGGCTTCAGTGTCACATGATCCTTCAGAAATCATTCTAATACGTTGATTTGATGCTCAAGACACATTTCTTATTATTATCAATATTGAAAACACTTGTGCAGCTTAATATTTTTGTGAAAACTTTATTTTTTTCAGTAAGGTAGTTAAGTACTAATAATTATAAGTACTAATAATTAGCCAATGTGCTAGTAATATGCATGCTAATAAGCAACTACAGTAGTTGATATAGTGAGAATTGGTCCCTATACTAAAGTGTTACCAAAAAGCATTATTATAAATGTATTTAAATTAATTGTAATCAATTTAATGCATCCTTTCTAAATAAAAGTATTTAAAAAAAAAAACTTACTGACCTCAAACTTTTGAACAGTAGTGTATTTGAAGAAGTATATTATGTCAGCAAACCTTAAACTTCTCTAATGTGCATGAATCAACGCAAGTGTCGTCTGTGTTTGATGACGTTGCAGGGTGTTGCGAACGAACGCATTTTTGTCAGATGAACTGAACTTCAACAGATATCCTGTGTTCAGGGAGTAGGGAGCAGTGAACCCTGCATAAGGACCCTGTCAATTGGAATTCAGCTCCAGTCTATGCTGCAATGACGTCAATAAGACGTCGTCTTCCAAATGAATTATTAGTGATTGTTACTTAACTACTTACCATTGTGTCATCAGTATCTATATATAAATTAGTGACGTTCTTCTGCACCATTTGGCTTAATGCTTGTAAAGTACTGTAAAAGGGGCTTTATGCAAAATAAATTGACAATCAGATCAGCTGATCACGGTGTTAAAACAATGGTTAATAATAAAGAGTCTTTAATGAATTGGTGCACACTTAAAAGTAAAACTGTGACAGACCGCTGAAACTTTATGAAAAATAAATACAGTTTTTCTTGTTCGATAACACCTGCTATGATAAGATCAATATCTTGATCACCAATTTCACTCTCATTTAATCCCAAGTGAACAGTTCTAAATACAGGAGTAGACAGGTTTTGTGGTCAGATCACTGAAACCACATCCTGAGGTGGTCAGACACCCATGTGATCACATCTGCAGCGTAAGCACTAATCTATTAGTGTCCAGTAAAGGCCCACTCACCTGTCAATCATCCACTGCACTAAACAGATGTTTTAAATGTTGCCAGCTGACTAAAAAATTGGATAGGCACATGCAATTGCATTGAGAATACTCAACAGAACTTCTCCAGAATGCCTGAAATCAACATGCATTTACACTGATTGCTTATCCAAAACAGGTAATCCATTACATTTATTTTGCCAAATCTGCAATTTAAAAATGCAGTTAATGTAAGTAAAAGTTTTTCTAGGTTCAAGGGTGTTGATGACAAAAAATTTCAAACTGCTGTAGACTGTAATGTTCACTTTTTCATAAAATCCAAAAAAAAAGCAAGATACTCTCTTTTATAACCCTGAAGATATATAAAAAAAAATGTTTAATGGACTATGCCACAAATATTTAGGTGTGAACTATGAGCTCAGCTACTATGTCATGTACAGCTTTATCTCATTGGCGAGAAAACTGATTGCTATTGTTTGGATTATCCTTCATACACCTTTCATTTCTTTGAACTAGGGCGTTATTCTGAAGACCCTGGGTTTAAGGACAAATAGATTAATTTAATTAATGCTAGAGATGTGGCCCAGATGGCCCAACAAAAGCTTTTATCAATACATGATGTTATCTGAGGGATAAAGCTTAGAACCCAGAGCAGTAGACAAAAGCACTGATGGCATGTCTATATTTCAGGGCCTAGTCATTGTGGAGCATTAAAACAGATATAAAGGTGCAGTCACATTAGTGAAATTGTGGTGTAATTTTGTGTGTGTGGGGAATAACTAAGCAAGTTACTTAACCCTCCCAAAAGAATGTACTGTAACAAGTCCATGGAAGTCACACCAGTGGTATTTTACATCTTTTTTTGTCAAATGATTATATAAACGTTATTATACAAATGTGGAGCTCTTTAGCACTTCTGTTAGCATATGAAATAGACTTACCTGTGTGCCACGACTAGAGTGGTGTGGTTGGCACACACCTTAGCGAGAGAAGCCTGAACGTTACGCTCTGTTTGACTGTCCAAAGCAGATGTAGCCTGAAAGCAGAATTTGAAAATCAGGATTGAGTACAAACCCATATCATTAATTGTGAACCTTCAAGAGAGTCTTTACTCACTTCATCAAGCAAAATAATGCGAGGGGATTTTAGGATTGTGCGAGCGATGGCCACTCTCTGTTTCTCCCCTCCGCTCAACTTCAGACCCCTTTCACCCACCTCAGTATCATATCCTGTCATATTCAAAAAGGTATTGTTCAGAGAAAAGTGAACATTCTGTAATCATTTATACACACCTCATGTTATTACAATCCTATATCTGTTCTTTCAAAACTGTGATCAAAACACACTGCAATAAAAATTCAGCTTTGCCATCACAGGAATAAATTACATTTGAAAATATATTCAAATAAAAAAACTGTTATTTTTAATTGAAATAATATTTCTCAATATTTCTGTTTTTACTGTATTTCTCATCAATTAAATGAGGCCTTGGTGAGCCGTTAAATGGTAGTGCATGTATTCCAAAGATGTGGAGATCATAATGCTTGAGAAATGTCCTCTGTACTCCGTGAACAGATAAAAAAAAAAAAAAGACTAAATGTAGTTCTGAAAAGATAGCAGTCCTCTACCATCTGGAAAGGATAATATCTTATGGTGGATATCAGCAGCCACTGCAGCCTCTTCTACTTCTTGGTCACTTGCAGAGATGCGTCCATAGCGAATGTTTTCACGGATGTTATCATTGAAAAGAACAGTGTCCTGAGGAACTACACCAATGTAGGATCGGAGAGAGTTCTGTTTCACCTGTATGTATGAAGATAAACAAAGAAAAGACATTCAAATAAGTCAACTAGAAATTCTTATAGGTGTTGTTGTATGTGCAAATGATTGTTTTCTCTGCAACCTCACACAAAGACTATCTAGCTCTACACAGCCCTATATTATAACAACAGGTGAATCGCAGACAGGTGGGCCTCGAACTTTAAAGTATTTCACCACCTGAGGTTTTGGAGGTCTCCACTGCCTTTGAAAGCTAAGGAGCCAGGTGCTGATGGGCTATGAAGGGGTCCCAAGCTCTGAAGATTTGAAACCCCAATTATAAAGCAGGGTGACAATCTTCACATGCTGCCTGTTGTTGGGAGGGGTGCGGCGATAGACCCCTGCCGAGATCCAAAGCCTGGCAAACTCTGTGAGGCAGTGCCAGCTGACATCAAGGGTTTCGAACAGCATAAAGAGGAGCAGAGACGAGACAAAGTAGGTCTGGAATGGGCACAAATTTTAAGGAAGCGCTAAGCTGGCCCCCTTATAACCATATATCAAGAGCCCCGCTGCAGAGATGATCTACGCCCGTACGCCGTTTCCATCTGGAGCCATCTGAATGCCATTCTGGTATGCTTCTGCTTTTGTCTAAAACATATTAGGGTAAGTTATGTTTGTCCTGGCAGAGGCACAAAACAAGCCAATGTGTGACAGAATACAGCTGACATTTTATATTCTAACAAATTTACAACAACCATAATGTGCAACACTGGTGCTAAAATGATCAAAATCAGGAAATCATAATCAATACACTCAAAATAGATTGCCTGTATAGCATTTTTGAGTCAAAAGCAGGCCACTCTTAAAGCTAACTTTGCAAATACACCGAATTATATTGTGACTGGTGCAGTAATCATACCTATCCAGATCCTTAAAGAATAAATGCTGGTTACGTATTATAGTATTAGTTTTATGTATTAGCCTATGTATTAAATGTACAAAATATAGTAATAAAAATGTATAAAGATCAGAAATTAGAAACAAAACATAGAAGAATAAAAATACCAATATAAGCTAAACTAGTATTGTACATTTCCACGGTCGTGTCCCACCTGGATGTACTTTGTCTCAGATACATTTACATTTAATCATTTAGCAGACACTTTTATCCAAAGCGACTTACAAAGTAGAAGCAATCAGACCAACGAGAGAGCTTATGCTTCTGCTTTTTTCTAAAACATATTAGGGTAAGTTATGTTTGTCCTGGCAGAGGCACAAAACAAGCCAATGTGTGACAGAATACAGCTGACATTTTATATTCTAACAAATTTACAACCATAATGTGCAACACTGGTGCTAAAATGATCAAAATCAGGAAATCATAATCAATACACTCAAAATAGATTGCTTGTATAGCATTTTTGAGTCAAAAGCAGGCCATTCTTAAAGCTAACTTTGCAAATACACCGAATTATATTGTGACTGGTGCAGTAATCATACCTATCCAGATCCTTAAAGAATAAATGCTGGTTACGTATTATAGTATTAGTTTTATGTATTAGCCTATGTATTAAATGTACAAAATATAGTAATAAAAATTTATAAAGATCAGAAATTAGAAACAAAACATAGAAGAATAAAAATACCAATATAAGCTAAACTAGTATTGTACATTTCCACGGTCGTGTCCCACCTGGATGTACTTTGTCTCAGATACATTTACATTTAATCATTTAGCAGACACTTTTATCCAAAGCGACTTACAAAGTAGAAGCAATCAGACCAACGAGAGAGCAACAATATACCCCTGTCTCAAAAGCACTATCACACAACATATACTACTATTCAAACTTTTGTAGTCTGTAAGATTTTCTCTAAAGAAATTAATACTTTAATTGAACAAGGATGCCTTTATTTGATCAGAAGTGACATTAAAAGACATCCGAATGACTCCAAAGATTTCCATTTCAAATAAAACTGTTCCTTTGAACTTTCATCAAAGAATCCTGAAAATATGGCTTCCACAAAAATATTCACAACACCAGTCTTTATGAAGACTGGAGTAATGGCTGCTAAAAATTCAGCTTTGTCTTCACAGGAATAAATTACATTTTAAAATATATTCAAAAGTTCATTTAAATTATAAATTGGGAGAACGGGCATCATTTTATGACAGAATTTGAAACAAAATAGCAAGATAAGTGAGTGGAAAGATGTGTAGAAATCATTAACAGATAACACAGGAAGAATGTAAGAACCAGAAAATGGGGCTTTAATGCCATAACTTTTAAAGGGAATGCCAAGGCGTCTTATCTGTAGAATGAACAGAAATGTGCAAACAGTCTCTACAAATCAATATTCAATTAAGGGAGATTATCCATACTGATTAGAGCCTGTGTCAATGAGGTCATAGCAGGTATTACCAGCTCAATGATTGGTAGTGAAGACAAAATCTTGTGATAACATCTACTATGCTCTCTGTGTCCTAAGAGAGGAGCTTAGAGAAATGTTTTTTTCTTTTACACTCAACCTAGGAAAACTGACCCAACAAACCTCAATGATGTACAAACAGAATCTAACTAACTGCTGCAAGAAAAACTGACCGTAATCTTACCCACAACAAGAGAAACTCGAAATTATTCTTAGTTCACATTAAAGAAAAGCCCCCGTCTCGGAGCACTGATAATGACAGAGTGAGAGAGAGCAGAGCGAGTGGTGCTCTGGCTGTTCAGGCGACCATTAATCCATGTGGCGAGTGGAACCAGCCTCAGTGTTTTCACTTCAAACGCCTGACGAATTAGATCCCCCCTTTGAAGTTTGCTTTTTTGTTTTTTCTTTTGTTTATTTTTCGCCTGGTTTTTAGTGTGCTTAATTCGCCGTCTTTCCATTCTTTCTTCCCATTCATTTGGCTCTTAAAAAAAGTCAATGTCCTTAATTTATGAACTAATTAACATCAGACTGGGCCGGGTGAGAGAGGGCTTACTGCAGCCATGTGAAACACAAATGGCTTCCCAGGTCTTTATGGGAATGTAGCATCTGTCCCTTCACAATACA